AAGTGGTTAAAAAACTTTATTTTTAGCTCTGCGGTTATTGTTCAATCCACCCCTTCTAGTTCAATTCAAATTTTTACCTTAAAGAAACATAAAACATGAAAAATAAAATCATACCTCAAGTCTTGACTCATACAATGATAATGTGGTCAATGATGATTCTTGTGGCGAACGCACAGAATGATACAGACATAAGAATTTGTCATACGTCAACATCAGCCACGAGTCTTCTGGTGAAAGGAAGAGAAGGAACATGCTATCATTTAGCAAAGGAAAAGGCAAGTTATGAGGTAAGAAAACTTGATACAAGTCTGAACAAATAGTCTATGTTCAGTTCAAATTTTGAATTTTATACAAAATAATTATATATGGGTACTCCTGAAGTATAAGTACCAGGTTAGGGTTAGGTCATATTATTATTACGGTTTTCCTTATTTTAGTTCTACTCAAGTTCGGGCACTTTCTGTGTTAGCCAAGTGAATATACCCCCTGCCCATACGTTTCCGTCCCTTTACACAACTTGATGCAAAGTGGGCGAACAAAATTAGTTACCTCCATATTGGTACACATACTTCTGGAGCGTCCATAAATCAAGTATGCATAAAAGTTGTTAAAGTAATATTAAAAAGTTACAAACAATCATCGGTTCTACTTTGGGATCTGATCTCACTTGATTAATGCGAAAAACCAAAATGGTCCGACTAGTTTAATCTCATGAAGACATTCTTATAGAATTCAGTTTCTGACCCAACTATAATCACTAAGATCGCACACCATGGTAGCCCAATCCCCTATGGGTGTGCAATTTTTAAAAGACGAGGGTCAGATACAAATAATTCGATGCACCTGTGGGTCGCACCTTCATTTATCATAGGTCTCTAATAGGTGCAGACCCAATAACACATTAAAAGCTAAGGTTTATTTAGATAGTCACACATAAAGAGCCATCTTGTGATGAGTCGAAGACTCAAATTCCCCTAACAGTGTATCGAACAAATTCAACCTTAAATAAATTTGAAAAAATTTTTCTACAGGAAGCTATGAGATTTTGTACTTCGCTTGGTGGAAACATAGCAGCCATCCCTCAAGATAAATATCTCAGAAGATCAAAGTTGGAAGGTGAAAGGTTATATTGGACATACTCAAAAACAGGCGTGGGACAAGATATTTCTAATAAGGTAAATAATTTAAACCAGGATTTTTCATAATGAATTTTCATAATTTGTGACTTCTATGAAGACTCTTTTAACACCTGCCTGTGCTTCCTAGTACCTAGTTCGATTCTCTCCAAGTATCCGATTTTCCGTGTTTTAGTTCTATTGAGAGTTCAAGGACTGTGCGTGTTAGCCAAGTGAATATACTCCTTGCCCATAGGTTTCAGTCCCTTTACACAAATTTTTCAATGCAATTCTGACATATGATTATGTTCTGTAGTGAGTTATTGATAAATAAGCGTTTTGTATTGTATGTGGACGCTCAGCAATCTGTCTTAGTGATGTAGTCCATGTGTCCAGTAATTAATTTGTTGACAGGACTAATTACAATAAAAAAAATTGCATACAATTACATATCTCTCATCGACTCCCAAGTATTCGAGATTCGATTCGAAAAAATATTCGATTCTGAAATCATCAGATATTCTAGAATGCTCACCCATACAGCTGACATTACTTTAGGTAGATTATAATAAAAATACACAGAAAATAAAATATACTGTATTTCTCGGCGATTAAGTCGATTTTCTGGACCCCAAATTTTTGCTCTGATTTAGGGGGGTCCGTCATATTGGGCAGGTATGCTTACTTTATTTTTTCTGGGGCTTGGAATTATCGTTTTATTGTTAAGAATTAATGATGTGAGTATTATTCCACCTGAAACAAATTTGACCTGGTTCTAACTATATAAAATAATTGATACATATTAGTGCTTAACTGACCAACAGAGAAGCAATTTTTTAGCCCTGTCGTATTGGAGGACTATATGGAAAAACTCTCGTTTATTAAAAATTGATTTCATCTTATTCACCGAGTAAACTTATTCACCGGGAAATACAATAATCGCCTTTATGAGAGAATCCTAAAATCATTATTTTTTTCAGCTTACAGCACCAAATAAGAAATGCAATGCCCTGTACAAAACATCATTCAAATTTGCCCCTCACCTTACAAATTGCAAGAAAAACTTGTCTTATATATGTACAACAAATGCAGGTATTTGAAATATTGAATTTGATATATTGAAAGTATTTATTAAAATTTGATTCTTATTTGTTAAAAAGATGAGGAGAGCTGATAAGATGTTCAGTTACATAGCAAACCAGTGATGCCAGTGTTGAAATAAACACAAGTCTTCAGTTACTATAACTGATAAACCTGAATTGCATATCACAATTAGTTCAATCATCAAAATAAGTTTTAAATGATAAGTCGCAACACAAACCGTATGTTCTGGCGATAGTTTGGTTACTATATTACTGATATTTTCTATTTAAAGTAGGGTCGCCCAACCTGTGGCTCGCGCAGTGTTTTTCGAATAAACCAAACTAACCCGATGTTTCCCACAAATTCAGGCCACAGTTGACACCTCACATAAAAATTGAGTAAATTACGGTATACTTTGTTTTTCCGTTTGTATTTTGTTATTGTGTGTATGTTATTTTTACAAATAAATAAAACTTCTAAAATTTAGTCACTGCATAAAAATGTGTGTATATTGTGTTCAGATATTCACTTTGTGCAATCCAACCGTTTAATTTAAATTTTAATTCTAACGTAAATCTGTACTGATATATATATTGATTAGGTTTGCGGCCCGCAATAAGTTTCCTCATGTGAAAGTGGCCTGCGGCATTCGAAGGGAAGAACATGCCTAATTTTAAAAAATCAATAAAACAGGTTCTTCATGATATTAGACCTGTGGGCTATTTTCAAGCCATTGACTCATCCTGACTCACCATTTATCTGATACTCAGGTTACCTCACTGAAATGACTTGAACCAGTGGTTTTCAAACAGCCCAACAAGGTGGGCATAGATAATTTTGAGAGGGCGTGAATCTAATGAAAAATATAAATATTTGTTAGATTTGATTTTGCCTGCTTTATTCTGAATATTTACAGTTCTTTATTTTTGAATAAATGTTTTTTTGAATAAAACATTCTGATTACTATCTGATTTGCAGCTTATTGTTAACTAGTTATTTTTGAGGTGGGCCACGAAACTTGACAAATTGAAACTTGAAAGGTTTGAGAACCAGAATTGTTTATTATTCAGTTTTGGTCATCCCTGCATATATCAACTTTACTTTCAATCTTACCAACCTCTACGTTACTTTAACTTTTGTTTCTTCTTATTAAAGCATACGCCGGTCAGACTTCGAAAATTTACTGGGACACAAAAACCCATTGCATGAAATCTCATAAACTCAGTCTGTTGTCACCAAAAACCTTGAAGGACGTAGAAGCCACTGTGGAATATCTGAGAGAAAAATGGTAAGAATTATTTAATGTTTTCAACATAACAAGTTTTTGGGCGCTCCTAAAGTATAAGCACCATTTTGTTTAAATATGAATAATATAATCTCTTTCCACTAAGTAGTAAGTTAATTTATGAGCTTTCATTACATCATAGTCTAACTTCTTGGTAAAGATCAATAGTCAGTTAAAAAAATAATATAATAATAGACCAGTACCAATATGGAGGTAAGCCTATGGACAGGGGCCAACACTGACAGTCCCCGAGCTCGTAAAACAACTAATCACAAAGGAAAATTGGAATAAAATTATGGCTTAACCATAACCTGGCACACGCATACTTCGCGAGTACAAGTTTTTGAATCCATCATGCTTTGGTTAAATATATTCACATTTCTAACTTGGACTGATAACTGGTCATAAAGGTTTGTCCTTATGAATATACTTATTAGAAAAAGATTTACATATTTTTTCACGGGGGAGATGAAAGCCGATAAGACAACTTAACCATATGGCAAACCATGGGCTCTCGCCCGGTTACCATTCTGTGCCACATGAATTAGTTAGTTAATTGTTTTCGAAAGCATGGACTTGATGGGGGAGAAAGCTGCAACCGACCAGTGGTTCCCCCTATGGTAGCAAGGAGTCGAGCCATCCACTCGCACATAACCATCCTCGCATGGGATTCACACCTAACTGTGCCTTTTTACGTCACACTTACATGGCGAGTCTCCTTGAGCAAAATTTTTGGTCTCTAGTTCAAAAAGCTTGCCCAACCCTGGTCTGCAAGGTACACTGAAAGTGAAAGGATATTCTTGTTAAAATATTTTACAGGGAGAGCTCAAGTAACCATTTGCCTTGCACTGTATGGATTGGACTTACATGGAGAAACAATATTTCAGCTTGGAATCATGGCATTTACAAAGAATTATTAGCGGATGTTAAGGGTATGATAAATAACAATAGGGATTCGTAATATACCAAAGTTGGGTAGAAACTTGAGTCACGTAAAATCATTGCTGCGAGTCGAGTCAATTTGAGAGCCACTAGTGGGTAGTTGAGCACGAGCAGAGGTGTGAATCAATTTAAGAACAGGTTTTCTCTCGTACCAAACTCTCTAATAATGGGGTCCAGCAGATCAGAAAACGTGCGTATGTTACTATGTAAGCTGCATTAACATGGCACACATTACATCAATCTAATACATAACTTTTGAAATATAACACTAATTGTCATCTGCAGTGTAAGTAACCCATTCACTGAGTTGCCTAACTTCGGTAACAGTCCCCAAACCAGAGTCAAGTCAAGTAACAGGTCTTAAGAGTCTTGCGTCGGGTCAATCCCGAGTTGAGAGCCACGGACGCTTAGTTACAAGCAGTTATGAGATTCAAAATTTTAAGAACGGGTATCACTTTTTATATCTAGTTATTGCAATTGATGACTCGTGAAGAAGTGTCTTCTAGTCAAACTGTGACTAAATGATATTATAAATACAAAAGTCATCGAAATGATGTCAATTTATACGTTAAATTGTAGGTTTCGAAATTTTAAGAATGGTATCGTTTTTTTGTTTCCTTTCCTTGCAATTGATGACTGGTTTATAATAACTGGAAAATTGTCGTAATATATTTATAGTCAAACTGAGTAGATAATTCTTTGAACTGAAGTGATAAAAATTGCGTCAATTTATATGTTGAACTGTGGAAAGCACAATAATCATAAGGTGAAGTAAGGATTCGCATAAATACAAATTCAAAGAAATGATAGGTCGTAGAGGAAATGAAAATCTGACTCAGAAATGAGTAGGCGAAGTTCTAAGAATTCAGGGAAACTTTTGTAAGACTTAGATATTACTGGGGCTCCAAAAGTGTGAATACCAATATGAAGATAACTAATTTTGTTCGTCCTACTTTACATCAAGTTGTGTAAAGAAACTGAAACCTATAGGCAAGGTATGGTATAACCCTGACCTGGTACACATACTATAGGAGTACCATTATTAGCATTTGTTTACTAAACCTGTTTTTTTTACTGTTCTAATATGCATTTTGCTTGCAAATTGAAAATGCAGGATATGATTTACATATTTATCTGGGGGAGAGGAAAGTTAATAAGACGATTTAATCATATGGCGAACGATGGCCTCTTGTCCGGTTACCATTCTGTGTCGGGTATGGTATTAGTCAGTTATTTGTTTTTCGAGAGCATGAACTTGATATGAGAAATATTGTAATGAAAACAAGACTCCAACTGATAAACCTGCCTTGTGCAATGTCAACAAAAATAAGTTGGCACATTCTAATGGAATGAATTCATAATTTTTTCTATTTAGATCTTCCATTCAAAATTATACCAGAAACTCCTGTGGATGCAAAACAAGATCAAAGATATCATGCAATAATGAAATTTGATGGGTTCAATTTCATCGCAACTTGGGAAAGAAAAGACGCAAAGGCCGATTACATTTGTGGGAATTTACCAGCACTGGCCCAAGGCCCTCCAGGAATGAATGGGGAGACAAGTAATGGAAGTTTATTCATATTTACTTCTATAAACTTTCTGCATTTCTCATTAATGTCCACCTATAAAATGAGAAATTATAATCAAGGATAGGATATTTATGATATTTACCATTCCATGTCGGGTATGGGATTAGTTAGTTATTTGTTTCCGGAAGCATGTACTTGATGGTGGGAAAGCCATAACCGACCAGCGTTTATGTGAACCACCCAAAGGCGGCGAGGAGTCCAACCAATCAATCAATTCACACACCGCTGTGCCATTCACTCATCCAGTGCCATATAAATATGTATTTGAGCATTGCTTTACCGAATCAGTCAGTAGTTTATTTATAAACATGCTGAAAATACACATTATAAAGAAAAATATAAAAAAAAGGATTCACTGTGACGGAAGACTTGATAAACCAGTAATGGTTAGCGCAGTGGCACCTTTTGTTAACATTGTAGTAAATGCACACATTTTTTTAAAACACCAGATCCGGAACCTCCAAAAACCAAAATACAGCAATATTGGAATATTATACTGCCTCTAGTGGGGATAATTACCCTATTCTTGATTATACTGACCACAGTTTTCCTACGGAAAAACAAGAAAAGGTGAGAAAACTTAATTATCCATGAAATATCACTAGGACTGTGCAGTGGGAGAATGTCACTCTGATTTTGGTACTCCCGTAGTATGTGTACCAGGTTAGGGATAGGCCATAATTTTATATAGATTTTCCTAATTTTAGTTCTATTACAAGTTCGGAGACTGTCTGTGTTAGACAAGCAATTATACCCCCTGCAAAAAGCCTTCAGTCCCTTTACACAACTTGATGAAAAATAGGCGAACAAAATTAGTCACTTTCATATTCGTACCCATACTTCAGAAGCACCCTGATTTTTGCTCAATTGAAGTTGGACCAGGGTCATATTTACAAATGGCCAAATACAGAAACAGAGCTAAAATTTTGAACAACTCAGGCTCAAATCTTATTTTGACCGAAACCAAGAAAGACATGCCATTGCCAAAGAATTGTATATGAAATTTCAAAAAGCCTGGAATTGGTAGCCTTTATATTTCTTATATAGTCAGAGCTGTTATTTTTTTTAATCAATAGAAATTCTGAATCAGATTTACAGTTTTGAGTTCTATTAAAAACTTAAATTAATGAGATGAATAGCATCATTAGTGTCAGCGGTGGACAAAATTTTCAACAGAAACTCAAATATCATCGAAAATTTAAAAAAGATTGCATACACAAAAAACTCATCTATCAAAATCTATGTCGTCTTAGGATTGGGAGTAAAAGTTAAAATCCTCTTCAAAGCTAGAGACAAAAGTGTTACCAATCCAGATTCAGAATGAATTGCTCAGAGATTACAACCAGATGTAAATTTTCCTTGCCTATACCACTATGTTAATCTCAATGCTTTTTTATTTAGACATGGATGTCTTTATAGCAACTCATCACAAGCAGGAAGTGATCAGAGTCATTCTAACCCAACTTTCCAAATGGAAACGCATGGAAAGAAAAGATCAAGTTCACCTTATATAAGCAATGCGGATATTGCTTCAATACCCAACCTTTCAACTCAACAAAACTTCCAAAACGAACTACCGGTATCAATCCCGAGCAAAAGCCAACAACTCGAAACAGTTAGAATATTTAACCAATGGCCTCGTGGAACCGCCCCTCACATCCCTTTCCCCAATATTAAGATGGGAAAAAACACAGAAACAACAAAAATAAATAGGCAAGTTTCCACAGTCTCAGGGCCTTATGAAACTCCAATGGAATTTGAAACACCAAAGGGCTACCTGACTTTTGAAGTGTGTAGCGGATTACAAGTAAAGAGATCATCTTCAGATGAGAGTGTGATATTGACACATAATTTATATCTTCAAAAATCAAGTATCGATGAACGGAAGCTAACTCGAAGCAAACAGAAATCATCAACATACACTACAATGAATATGATGAATAAAATAACTCCACAGCGCCACCATCCCTATCATCAGATTGAAGAAAACATGCAAGGCAAGAAAAAGATCAAATTTTCAGAGTTAAGATCAAGTAAAAGTTACTCAAATATCAGTATAAAAGGTCCAGTCACACAGAGACAATTATCTGATCCAGCGAAGCATGTCTATGAACAAATGAAAATAAGGTCGCTTAGCAACAGAGTCGCAGGTATGACAACTGTTGCCACAACAAAAGAAGCTTTGCTAGAAATTCTCAAAAAACAAAAACGTAAAACTGAAAATATATATCAAACCGAGAACGATATTCTAGAAAAAATTTCTACTCCAGCCATATTGAGCTATAAAGAAGACACAGACAGTGATGCCAAAATAAAACACAATGCTACTTCTTAATCTTATCTAGTAGTTTTCAGCCCCATTGAAATATACTAAGAGGGTACCGGTACTCCAGAAGTATGTGCACAAAGATGGCAGACACCAGAACGTTGTATGTGACAAGGTTACGGTCAGGCCATAATTTTAGGTACAAATACCATGAAAGTCACTTGGCTATTCCCCGAACTCGTAATATAACTAAAACAAGGCAAATTGTAATAAAATTATGTCCCAACCTGGCACACATATGACGCTCTGGTGTTCGCCATCTTGGTGCACATACTTCTGGAGCACCCTTAAAAAATATACATATAGTAAAACAGACTTTCAGATTCTAATGGCAACTTGTGGAACCATGTTCGAAAATTACTGTTAAAAGTCTTAGTTAATTGAAGCACGTTCAAATGAAATTGTGGCACTGTGCTATTATTGCCCCACTATTTGTTTACTCAGGTCAGAACAAGTTAGGTCTGGTAACAACTATTATTTTTGAGTGTGTAGTGTACATTTAGATCCTTTTTCTGATATCTTGTTGTTAGAATGACAGGTAAACTTCACCGTAATAAATGGACTAATCAATTTATACTTCCCACTATTTAGGTATAGGATTCTTAAAATATAATACGACAATGGTTTCCAAACTTTTTGTTTGTGCAGCCCCAAATTATCGGGAAAAAAACTGACGCTGCATTGACATGAAAAATTACTGCTTTCTAAAATAAATTAATTTTGTAATCATTAATGTGTACTTTATGCCATTTGAAGTTTGTAAATATGACGAAAAACGTCAACTCTCCTTCTTCGTTCTAATAATTCAGCCCGATATTCAGTTTAATATGAATAATATTTAACACAAGTGGAAAGCTGATAGGTTGCCCCTTTCATTAAGTGAGGCTTTTTCAAACATCTTTCAATCTGATCCCTGTACAAAAAGTCATGGGCGTAGAGGAGGGGTTTGGGGACGGACCCCTTCTTGAAATATAAAAAAAGGGTGCACCCGAAGTATGCGAACCAAGATGGCGGACATCGGAACGTAACATGGGTAACAGGTTAGGTTAGGCGATAATTTTTTTCCAATTTTTAGTCATATTATCAGTTCGACCAAGAGCCTCCCGTAGTATTTATACCTAAAATTATGGCCTAACCCTAACCTAGTACACATATTACATTCCGATGTCCGCCATCTTGGTTTGCATACTTCGGGAGCACCAAAAACAGTTTTTCTGTATCATACATAGCAATTTTTCGTAGCTTGAAACAACTCTTGAAAATCTTTGTTTTCAGCCGGACCCACTAGCTGTTAGGCTCTTACCTGGCAATTAGAAATTTCAGAACCTCATTTCCAAAAATTCCTGGCTATACCCCTGCAAGCAGTCGCTGTCGGCATCACCCATCTAATTCATAAAACTTTGGGTGTAGATGGTAAGCATGGGATCAAAACCAAGGTTGTGTAAATAACAATGCCGACAGTTTATTTCAACACTTTATCCAATAAGCTATTAGTGCCCACTTTTATCATAAAGTAAACATTGCCTTTCCTGTAGTTAAAAATCTATGACTGTTATGGAAATAGATTGATTGTTTCAGAAATTTATATGCATTTAGAGAAACAGTGCTCACTTTACATTACTACCCTTTTTATCAATATGTTATTACAAGAATTCAAGCCATGCAGGCTAAATCACTTTTTCTGACAAGATATTTTTCATATATTTCACAAGAATGAGGTTTTTCTCCAGTATGCATTACCATGTGCTTTTTGATACCACTTGTATTTGTAAAATCTTTCTCGCCTATACAGGCTAAATCTGTGGTGATATGAGAAAGTCTAAAACTAGTTACTAGTCCGTGTTTGGCTCTTAAAACTCAAGGGTCGAGTCAGGCAATCAATGAGTTGGACTTGCTGGAAATGAGTTGAGTTCAATTCACTTCAATCTAGATGACTCTAAACTTGACATGTGCAAACTAAGGCCCGCAGGTCAAATCCTGTCCGCTGGGTAATTCAATCCGGCCCACCTGATGCTGCAATAAGTTTCTGCTTTTAACTAATTCTGCATGTACCGCATATGGTTGGTATTATTGAAATCTGTATGGTACAATAGGCTTGCTAGATTAATTTTCATGTTATAGGAATGTTAATAAAACTTCACGTTTTCTTGCATATTCTATTCTAAGGCATGCTTTTTACACCCTTTTTTCTCCTCATGTGCTAGTAATGTGCGGTCATGCACAACCTCCATGTTCAATTAAGTAAATTCAAAGTTTTGTCAACGTCCACATAATGCACTCTTAATCTTAACGCTCTCCTTTTTTCTTACTTCAGCAATCTTGCCATTAAATTTTGTCAATCGTTTCCCGATAGTTTCTAAAAATTTGTTGCTGCATTTTTTGCACTCTAATTTTGAAGATTAACAGCTACGGTAATTTTTATGTCACACTTACATGGCCCGCCAGTATAGGTAAGCAAATTTTTTGGCCCCTGATTCAAATACCTCAGCACCCCAGCACTGTCGCAAACACGTAACACTATCGAAAAAGGTCACATTTTTCATCGGAACTCAACTAAAGATGATTTCACTTGAAACTCTTTTAAATTGAGTCTGCATGAAGATACACTGAGTTGAAAAGATCGTTCGTTACAAACAATCATGTTTAATTTTGTATATATACATTTATGCCTCAAGTTCAAAAATTATTCCTTCCAAATATATAATCCAGATCGACTCATTCGTTTGATATTTGTTCTATATTAGTGGTTCTAAAACTTTTTAGGCCGCGCCCATTTTTTAGAATTTGTCAAGTCTCGCCACCTCAAAAAGCGAAAGTATGCTTTATTAAAAAACACGTTGAAAATACTTGGATGGAACGTAAATAATGAAATAAAATAAGGCGGGCAAGATCAAATCTAACAAATATTTTAATTTTAATTAGCTTCACGCCCACTCAAAAATATTACCTACAATCCCTTGTGGGCCACGCCCAATCGTTTGAGAACCACTGTTCAATATGAATAAGTTTAAATATTGTAATAAAAACTGTATAATCTCATTTCATGAAATAGGTATATTTGTGTGCTTCCTTAAAATCATAGTCTTAACTTCTTCAGACAGTAAAGATCACAAGGAATTGTAAAGTCAATTTAATAAATTCATTAAGTTGTTTGTACCTTTGATTCATAACACACAAATACCAGAGTAGTGCATTTGTGTCACTCCAGATAACTTAATGAGTTAAACTGAGTATGTCTCACTATCAATTTGTAGAATAGTCCTTTGAGTTGATGTTTTGCAATTTATTTAACTCAACTAAAGTAAATTGCCTTGATCTTAATACTTAAAAAGTAGAGATGGAAGGACTTGGTCTGTTTTATCTTGGCTATCTATGCTATTATATCTGATCGTATTCTGACATAAATGTCTTTTCGATTTCAATATTGATTTGAATTTTATATAAATAAAAATTGCTGTGCCTCAATGTGTCAGAATGTAATCTGTAAAGAAAAATACTATGTAGGATTTCAAAAGTCATCGATTGGGTTTCTACGAGACTAATTATATCTGTCTTCTATGCTTTTGCGCCTGTGGATCCGTATGCATATATTGCAAAGATACTGTAGCAAGAGTAAAGATAACTATCTTAAGTGATTAGTCTTGCTGCACACTAACACAAGTATATATTTCTGTAACATTTCGATTAAGGTCAGACTTCCTAAGACATGCATAGTTCAAATGTCTCAGAAAGTTGACCTTGGTCCGACCTGATTGAGTCATGAATTAACAAATTATCAAGTCTCAATAATAATCTAAATTAATCGCGACCGTCACATGACCAAAATTGTTAAAAACTCTAGAATGCCACGGTAAATATTCTTTTTCTTCAGAAAATAGGATTATCTTTTCAAGAGGAATTCAATGATGACGTTTTTAGACTGCGCCTTTTTTCAGTTATTGCGCAACTTCATTTTACTGTATTTTTACCGATATTGAGGGACAACAATGTTCAGACGTCCCCGGGGTGTCTGTTCATCGGTAAAACGTGGTTCTCTGGAACGAGAATGTCATAAACAATCTATAAAGTGTGCCATACCGCAGGTACAAGGTTTTATGAACTGAAGAATAATTTGCTTGCTCATGAAACAGTCTGATCTGTCTTGTTACTATTTTACATTTCAGTGAAATGATATTTATTTTCATATTGTTACCAGCTCACCCAGTGCAAAACTTTTGAATTAACCTCCCTGATAAGGCCCAGTAGTAGGAGTATCATGCGAAGCGTTAGTAACAGGCTTGCTGTCATATCTAGGATCACAGAATTATGAAATTCTTATTATTTTCAGTGGTAAACATAAAATCTCACAGCCTAAGTGATGCATACACCACCATGGAGTTGTAGGGCAGTTCATGTAACCGCTGGTTGGTTATGGCTACCTAAACCATCAAGTTCATGGTTGAAGATAGGGATGGGACGAGTCCGGCATTACAGAGATCCGACGAATCCGAGTAATAGGTCAAGGACTCGAGTCGAATCCTCAGAGTCCGTGACGTCACAATGTAAAAAGTAAAAAAACATGTTTTTGACCATACTACAGCATCGCACGCTCACAAACATACGTCGTAGCTCATATTTTTTCATTAATGGTTCCCCAGATAGCTGTTGAATCAATTTAAAAATATATTTTTCTTATTTTTAGCGGCCATAATACAAACGTAAACGTGGGTCATTGTGCGCGTTGGCTGTGAACTGAATTTCCAGCCTATCACTTTGCGTCAATTCTGGGCAGCTATTTAGAAATTCTTACATGTCAATATGAAAAATAAAAAGCTTTTGACTACAATGCTTTCCCATAATTCCAGATATTTCTAGCCTTAAATTTACTATGTCGCGTGCGCAAATGGTAGAGAGATGCCACTCGTCGTCAAGACAATGCAGGCAATTTAGTAGTTCATGTAAACGTTCTGAATCTCTGCGCATGTTTCATATTTATTTACGCGAATCGAAAACTCAAAAATATTGCGCTAACATATATTTTATTGTGCACCAACTGTATACCAAAAAAGATAGTTTGAAGGCGACTGGCGCATCATTGTTATAAGCTATCAATAGTTTTTAACTTGCGTTATATTATCTGGATATCTGTCGTCGTTTTTATCAGGAATGTTTATAATACACACGAGTGATATTGTTACATATCTATCCTTGAATTACAACTAGTTAAGGTATGTAGTGAGATTATAGGGGTAAAAGTACAAACATAGGCATAAATTAGTAAACAGAATTGATTATAGACTCTGTAAAAACGACGTGGACTCGAAATTGAATCCGAGTCCAAAAAAAGCCTGGATTCGACTCGAATCCGAATCCCGGCCCATCTCTAGTTAAAGATGGATTTTTTCTCCAGTTATTACTTTTATTTTTTGCTATGACGTCATCAACATTATGTGACGCTACATGTCCATATATTTGAGCATAGTTCTCTTGTTCTTTCTGCGCAATTGCCCTATATACTTTTCGAATGACAGTATAGACTATGGTGAGAATAAATATCTGAATCTGACTGAATTCTGGAACTGCTGACATGAAATACTGCAAAGTTTATCAAACAGGCTAACTTTTACCTTCGTTGTTCGTTAACTTCAATTCAATGATTATTTTTTCAGTAAGTAAAGAATCAATTGCTAAATTGTACACAAATTTCTAGAAAGAGGATAATCACACCAGTGTATTCAAATTATTTTATTAGCAATACACACATGAAAAATTAGCATTACATTTCACACAACACCTACCGTGATCGTATCTGTGTTTTCCTTCTGCACACCGCAATGACCGCATATACGCAAATGCGGCAACGGGCTGCAACAGCAAGCAAGGCTGCCTCTGAGAATGGGAACAACATCAATGGAGGCATTACCTCGCTGCCAGTGACGCCGCCACGAGAACACATAACAGGCTTAACCCTTTCGGTTCTTCGAACACAGATGTTACATGACATGACAGTATTGTCTTCTGCTTCTATGATGAATTGAGAGAGAGAATTTCATTTCCGCAAACAATGTTCACATTTAACACGAAATATATAACAATATTGTAACAGTGTATAGCATTTTATGGTTTCTCAGTTTTTCATCCTAACTTCCTCTCGTTTTTTTAACTTTGCTTACATTTTTGTTTGCTCCCCTGCTTCTGTAATCCTACACAATTACTAATACAATTGCACGTTGAAATGCCATACACATTTACAATGTTTCGCTATATGACAATAACACATAAGTTCTGCATTTAAAGATCTGAATATTATACTGTATTGATTATTGTTCCTTTTCCTAATGGTTTCGCGGTCTGGGGATAGGGGTCATATTGTTATTAATATCAAACAAAATTTTATTTTTCTATTTTTATTTCAAGTCTGTGTGTCTAATAAATATATTGTTACTCATGTTTTAGTGCATCCGTGTAGGCAGAAAATCAGTAAATTAGCCACTTTTTTCATTGGATGCTGTTGACTGAATCTTCGAAAATAATAAATAAAATGAAATCCAATTTTATAAATTGATATTTAATACACGTAAAGTAATGTTATTGAATTCATTTAACCAATCAGTTGTTATAATTATATAAAGGAAGACCATTTAATAAATTATTATTTAATACAATTAAATTAAGGTTTTCGAATTCATTTAAAAACCCAAGAAATTCTTAAAATCATATATAGATTCAATTGTGACTGTTTCAAAATGGGGAATATCCAGATAACAGATTTCCTGTTTTAGATATCGTATGTCATTATTAATACAATAGCATATTTATATTAACAATGCATCGCTATTTTCTCGCACGGTTTATGGTACGAGTCTAATCAGTTTTAAAATAGCCGGACTCTTTCTCGATTTGGTTAGGGGTCGGCTATGAATAGAGAAGTCATTCTAGAGTAAGGACGCCTGTGAGCCGTTGTTATTGTAGTCAATCTACGCATACTGTCGGCTCATGTTAACGAATCACCCATGCTCTAATGTTGTTTTGGCAGCCATGGAATGTGCTAGAATTGTACTCCGGCATGTTGGGGGTATTGGCAGTTATTATTATTATTATTTGTTTATTACGGAAGTAATGCGAGAGAGAGCTACAAGCGCTTTTGCATTGTACTTTTATAATCATGTCGCAATTCAAAATTCAAGAAAAGAAAAATGTTATATAATTTAATATTTCTTTCTACTTTTGAGAGCGTTCTGTACCGCCAGGATAGTATTCTTTTCTGACATATAAATATTGCATTTATTCTAGTCTATAGGTTAGCGCAAAATTTCGTAATCTTTTTTTTATAATTTTATAGATATATATATAATATACCCCAAACTTTTTTTCTCGATTTATTACTACGTTATCTATGGCTAAATGTAGAAACCGTATGTTCGGGCACACACACAAGTCGAAAGCTACCGCTGGTTAATCCATTAAATCTGTATAAAACCCCGATAGTTGTTTTGAGATTGACTGGCGATTTTGTTAGTCGCTATGCGAAGGATTTTCAATTTATCGTACGATCCCCACCCCTGCACCACTTTGAAAAAATGGCAGGCTTTCAGATTTATTGGTGATGCTTATTGTTAATTTCAAGAAAAGGAGATTGAATAAGGATTCATCAGGAATATAAACAAATTGTTCTCCGACTTCTTTCAAAATATATATATTTATATGTTATACATAATATTGCACGGCGCTTCAGAAGTATGTGCACCAACATGGCGGACACCGGTACGTAGTAAGGTACACATACTACATTCCGGTCTCCGCCATTTTGGTTCACATACTTCTGGAGTATTAGAAAGGTTGTCGGATATAGGTAAATAATATTTTTAAGAAGCAAGGGAGCCTAATACAACACAATTTTGCCTTTAAAAATGGAGACGTTAAATTAATTTAAATCATTTTTCGATACGGTTATAAACATCCTTAATTGAATGTAATTGTTTTAAAATGAAAGTAGTTCCGTATTGAGAAGTTCCCCAATTCTATTTTGCGCACAGCCTTTGCGTGTTGGGACAAAATCAGTACCCCTAGCACCAGATGAAAATATTTTCATGATTGCGACATAAGTTCTGCATTCCACGATGTTTTAATCTATTCTTTCTGTTTCGCAATATGTTTTGCGCCAGACGCGCCCCTTTGAAAAAGGGGGGTTGTGTGCGACATAGTTATGCGCCGTTTTATTGTTGTTACTTTTTAATCATGTCGCAATTCAAAATTCAAAAAATGTAAAAAGTGTTGTGTACTTGATAAATTTACGCGATCTTGCGAAAATCTTTGAAATGAGCGCAAGTGCCCTCCAATGCACTAAAAATAAAACAAGGAAGTGTAATTTTATCCTTAATTATAAAAAAGCGAAGTATGTTATTGAATTTACTTCGCGTTGAGGGGTCGGCTTAGATTGAGGAAATTGTCTGAGACACCTGTGGGCTGTCGTCGAATAAAATTTTGTTTTGTTGTTAGTCATCAATCATATCGAATTTAAATATTTAACAAAGAAGTGTCGTGTAGCCTAATCCTATACTCTGATTATTAAAAAGGGAAGTATTTTATTGAATTCACTCCGTGGTGGGCTTTGATAAAGGAAATTCCTCGAGACACCTATGGGCTAATATTGTTGTTGTCGTCAAATAAAATGTTGTTTTTTCGTTAGTCATTTAATCAAAGCGAATTTTAAAATTTAACATTTGAAGTGTCGTGTACTTACCACATATATATATATTATTGTTTTTCAACAGTTCGACAGTTCACTTGTACAGCATACAGCTTAGAGAAGAAACCCCCAGCGAGAGACGGAAATAATTTTACGATTCAGACATAAGTTCTGCATTCCGTTTTTAAATCTATGGTAGTATTTCGAAATACGTTTTGTGCAGGCACGCCCCTTTAAAAAGGGAGGGTATGCGCGAGGTTATACTTTTGTAATCATGTCGCAATTCGAAATTCAAGAAAAGAAAAAATGTTAGGTATCTAATAAATTTACACGATATTATGAAACTCTTTGAAATTAGTGCAGGACACTTTCAATGCATTAAAAATAGAACAAGAAAGTGTGATTTAATTCTTAATTATTAAAAAGGGAAGTGTGTTATTGAATTCACTCCATAATAGGGGCCAGTCTTGATTAGGAAAATACTTCGAGACACCTATGAATTCATACATTTGATGTAATTACATAAAACCTTAAAAGTTAATCTTTTTGGAAATGAAGTAAGTAGTCCGCATTGAAAAGTTCCTAAATTCTATTTTGTGCACAGCTTTTATGTTGTGGGACAAAAGCAGAAGTAACCCCTATCGACAGATGAAAATATTTTCATGATTGCAACATAAGTTCTGCATTCCACGATGTTTCAATCTATTCTTTCTATTTCGCAATATGTTTTGCGCCAGACGCGCCCCTTTGAAAAAGGGAGGTTACGCGCCAGGTAATGCGCGAGGTTATAGTTTTGTAATCATGTCGCAATTCGTAATTCAAGAAAAGAAAAATTGTTAGGTATCTAATAAATTTACACGATATTGCGAAACTCTTTGAAATTAGTGAAGATGTACTTTCAATGCATTAAAAATAGAACAAGGAAGTGAAATTATATACTTTGATTATCACAAAGGGAAGTATGTTATTGATTTCACTCCGTGTTGGGGTCAGCTTTGATTAGGGAAATACTTCGAGGCACCTGTGAATACATTACATTTGATATAATTATAAACAACCTTAAAAGTTAATCTTTTTTAAAATGAAGTAGTTCCCTTTTGAAAAGTTCCTAAATTCTATTTTGCGCTCAGCTTTTGTGTTATGGGACAAGAAGTAACCTAACGACAAATGAAACTATTTTCATGATTGCGTCATAAGTTCTGCATTCCTTCATTTTTCAAATCTATGGCTGTATTACACAATTGGTTTCGTAAGTTGGCTGTCGTATATCATGATTGAAAAATAGCTTGTAGACCATTTCGGATATACCTCACGTCGGATTTGTTACAAGCATAGCGTCCAACGAAGACGCTTTGAATAGATCACGAGAGGGAGGCTGTTGCCAAACACGCGATCACGCATGGGCAAATTTTGATATTTTCGTGGTGGAATGCACTGAAATTAGTAACGTGTTTCCCCGAAAATAAGACTGGGTCCCATTTCAATTTTCTTCCGAAACATAGCACTGGGGCTTATTTTCGGGGGATGTCTTATACTTTCATTTATCAAAAATAAAATTACAAAGTAGATAATTACAAGATTCTCAAATATACAAAATATGAAAACCGATATCTATTTACTTATGAATACCACGTTTTATTCAAAATTACTGCAAAACATAGATTACCACTCATTTAAAACGTGTAGGAGAGATTTCTTGATATCGACTAGGTAAAATAAAAAAAAATTCCGCTATCGACTAGGTCTTATTTTTATGTTGGGGCTCAGTGGTGAACTGTAGCCGGAACGCACCGGAACGGCGTAATTCGTAAGTCTGTATACGTCACATCACGCAAATAATTAATACAGCAGTAACATGTAATAGATGTTGCCCCGACATTTGACCCCGTGAAAATTAATCCTGTATCTTTCTAATAATAATATTTGTATTGAATTGCTATGAAAACTCTTATAATTTTACACAAACATATTCCATATGTTTTCTTCACAGTTCATTGCAGTTCTGTAAACGTGCGCGTCGCGTTGTGAATATATTACATTTTTGCGAATTAGGTGCGTTCCGGTTGTCACGATTTTTCCAGCTAATCACTGGTGGGGCTTATATCGGAATCATTTTTAAAATTCAGGCTATAGAGCTAATTTTCAGGGTAGGTCTTATTTTCGGCCAAATACAGTACTAAGGATGGGATTTACTTATTACCCCGAGTTTGGCAGCCGATTTTCGGAAGCATGTACTTGATGGTGGATGAAGCCGTAACCGACCAGCGGTTACGTGAACCACCCTGCGGAGAGGAGTCTCGCAAAGGC